AAAACGCATTTGAAGTTTCAAATTAAGTTCACAACCAAATAATATATTTATATATATATTTATATATATTTATATATATTATTTATTTATATATATTTTGGCTTTGTATAGAGACCGCTTTTGTCCGCGTCGCAGCTGCCGTTCGATACCTGAGACCCGTTTCTGTACCCTGCTTCTAAACAGCAGGATACGTTCACACCAGTATACCTTTAAACTCACATAACTTCGTTAATTTTTGTCGAATCGACTTGAAATTTGCAGGGATATTTTTTGAAAGTATGTACTTTAAGAAAATATCAAAATCCAAAAATCGATTTTTTTGAAGTTTGCAGGTAGGTATAACCCCTTAATTAATTTTTAATCTTTTATGATTAATTTAATTTACTCTAATTATTTTTGTACGAGAAAAATACTATCATGGGTATACGTTTTATAATTAATTTAATATATTTGTGTTTAAAAATTATATTTGACCTTTAATTTTAATTTTTATTTTATTAAAATTAATAATTAACATATATACTTAATTGCGAATTATATGGATGAAAAAAATCCCCATTATGTGTGTAAGAGATTTCGGAACTCTTTGCTATAAAATAATTAAAATTAAAAGTCAAATATAATTTTTGAACACTTTTATATTATTAAGAATATATAATTCGGTTCCCGAAATATATTAATTCATTATAAAACGTATACGTGATATTATTTTTCTCATATAAAAATGACTAGAATAAATTAAATTAATTATTAAAAAACTAAAAAGTAATTAAACGACTTAGACTTAGATGATAATAATAATGAAATATTTTATTAAAAAAAGATTCAATAACTAGTAGGTCAGGTTATAATTTTCTATTTATTTATTTATAACATTATGAGCTATTAAGCTCATCATCTCGTTCGCTCTCTGTCTTGCTTTCATTCGGCAAGTCACAAACGATATATGATACTCGTATGTTCCTACTTCAACTCTCGAGAATCTGAAACAAACGAAACTCGTGTCCAATATACAGGGTGTCCGGTAACTAACAGACCAATGATTACAAATGGATTCTTTGGTCAATTTGGGAACGATTTTTCCTCAACGAAAATGTCGAAAAAGGTCATCATTTTTTACAACTTTCCAATCTTTGTCATTATGTATCTTTATAACTAAGCCTTAAATTAAAATTTTATTATAGTAAACTCTACCTGAAATTAACTGAAGAATGTAATTATGTTAGACTTTTAACTCCAAAACGTTTAGTTTTCAAAAAACCTATTTTTTTCAATCGCTTATAACTCGAAAATTATTGACTTCTCAACATTTTTGCTAAGGAAAAATCGTCTCCAAATTGGCCAGAGAATCCGCCCTTAATCATTGGTCCGTTAGTTACCGGACACCTTGTATATATTATATAAAAGTGTATAGCACGTCAGAAGCTTGTGAGCTTACAGCGATAAGTAAAAACAATTGCGTATTATTTCATTGCGTTTATTGTTTAAACGCGCGCTTTAATTTTTCCAACGTTTTTGCCTGTTTATATTTTAAAGGTCCTCTCTTCTAAAAATCTTGTTTTAAAGATCCTCTCCGCGAGCAAAATTCGAAAACATAAATTATTTAATATTTTTACTTTATTATTTGTAAATCCTCGGTAATTTCAAAATTTTTCTATTTGAAAATTATTAATTTTCTATTGCCAATTAATTTTATCACAGACTTTACTCTTACTCCCATTGCACTTTCGTTTGCGGTTTTCAGTATACGATTTTTTATCGTAGTTACTGCAAATTATTATTGTGAATTATACTTGTGCAGTGATTTGAAGAATTTACAATTTCGTTGAAATTGTTGATTTTTCAAAAAATTACGAGATTCGCGGAAATTGCGTGCTTTCTTGGCATTTTCCGTTCGCGGCAGGCGGTTTATTTTTGATTGTTGCAAGTGTTTTTGTTTTTTTTTTATTAAAATAGATAATAATAATGTGAAATAAATCACGATATTTGACAGATATGTGCATATATATAGAAATTGTAATAATAATAATATTATATCATAAAATTGTAAATTGTTTCAATTTTTTATAGACTGCGATAAAAGATTTTACATTTGGATAAGAAACTGCGGTAAGTAAAAATATAAAATTCTTGAAAACGTACCAAAAATATTTGATAACGTAAAAAGGTGAACTTTGAAAAATAAGGAACTTAAAAATTGCACTAATAAATGGGCTATATGTGAGCCGTGCGCGGATGTAAGGTGTGTTATATCGAAATTTAATTAATAGAATTGAGAATTAATCCCAATTTTAAGTCTTACAAATGTCCAAGCTAATTTTTTGTACCTCGTGTACATTTTTGAAAGTTATATCGAAAAATTAAATTTCAATATGCGTCTTACATCTCACATTTCGCATACGGCTCACATATAGCCTATTTATCTCTTATACTTTATTTCAACCCTTATAGAAATTTATTACTAGTAACGCCAATTTATCACTTATTTCGAGTAATTAATCACTTTTATTTCGAATACTTAAATTACTGTATATTATAGTATTTTAAATACTCAAAATAAGTGATTAATTGGCGTAGTGATAAATTTCTACAAGAGAATAAGGAGCCTTTAAATTCTTAATGTAAAAAATTTCAAGTAATTTTCTTTAATAAAATTTAATTAAAAAATTTAATAAAAAAATTTTTGAACACTGTGTTATATCACATTTAAAATTGTGATTATTTCAATAAAAAAACATTTTATGTGTAAAAAATATATTTTTTATATTTAATAAATTTTATATATATATATGCATATATGTAAAATATTCTCTCCTCTCTCTCTCTCTCTCTCTCTCTCTCTCACACACACACACACACACACACACACAACGGGGCCAAATCTCTCAAATTGGTCTCATGATCAATTAGCCTGGATTCGCACCAGGGGCAAAGTCTGTTGGTAATGTCAAACGAATTTAGCCTGGACTTGCACCAGGGGCAAAGTCTTTTGGTCGAGTCTACGAAATTTAGCACGGACTCGAACCAGGGGCAAAGTCTTTTGGTTCAAGTCTACGAAATTTAGCACGGACTCGAACCAGGGGCAAAGTGTGTCGGTAAGGGGCAAAGTCTATCGCACGAAGATGGCGGTCTCTTCTTTAGGCAGGCCTTTGGCGATCTGTCTATTAATCTGTGTCATCGTTTGGCCATCTTTGTCCTCACTGAAAACGCAACAGCAACATGATTCCATATGGATACAGGATTGCCAACAAAAGGCGTTGCGAGAAAAACATGTGCGAGCTCGTATCGATCAATTTCTCGCTCGACCATTCGATTCTCGAAAAGCAAAATAAATATTGTAAATTCAAATTTTCAAAAGAAACAAGAACTCTAATGTTAATATTTATCTATACTATTAAAAATCTTTTCTTTATACTATAAATTAAAAAAAAAATACAAAGTATTATTTGAAAGTTTAAAGAATAGGAAAAAATATTATAAAATCATGTAAAATTATAAATATTATTAAAATTTCTATGTAATAAATAAATATATATAAATAAATATATATAAATATATATATATATATATATATATATATATATATATATATATAACAAATGTAAAGATATATATCATCTTATTATTCTGTCGTAAACATTTATTTGTAGATAAATTCAATAATAATAATAATAATAATATATATATATATATATATATATATATATATATACTTACATATAATATATTATTAAATAGTAATCTTTACAGTAATAAATGTATATATACTTAATTCTTATAATTTTTATGTGAATTTTCAACGAATAGTATCATGGAAATCATACAGTCAAAGCTGTCACCTTTTCTATAATTAAATTACAGTTTTATTTCCTGCCAAACACACAGAGTCATTGATTATGGATTAAATTCTATCACATGCAGGAATTCTTGCTGTGTATCTTTCATAAATATTCAACAATTTATTTTTATTTTTGAAAAGGCACGAGTGTTTTGTCTTCATCGCGGAAATTCTCAAAATTTAATCTCTATTGTTACAATAAACTTCTTTCTATTATCGTAAATTCAATAAAATATACATATAATAATGCAATTATAGGAAAAATTATAGAAAAAATATAAAAGAATGAGAAAATGATAAAAATTCTTCTATAAAATTTTATAATTTTCAGAATCAAGGATTACTTTAAAAATCTCTAAATTTTTCTACATTTTTCCAGATATTGAATTTAATTCTCGATTAATTTTTAAATATCTATAAATTTTATGAAATAAGTTTTTATTAATATTTTTAATATAACATTTCTTGAAATTTATTTCTTGTATAGATAGGATCCTGCTATTTAATCCCGCGGAAGAATTAACTATCGTGTAAATTGTGTAAGTTAAATGTATTTTTTATATATGCAAAATGAGATAGAGAGAGAAATTTACCAAGGATAAACTTTTTTTCACACTGTCAGATATAATTTTAGAATAATTTGCAAAGAAAGAAATTAGACTATTCAAATTGATCACGTCTCGAATTTTACATTTCGTATGATATACATATAAGAGTCAACTTAGGGAGGAAATCACATTATGACAAACAACAGGATTTACAAAATACTTGAATTTTCTTACATTTATTGTCAATAGACACTAGACTACGAAAAATAAATCGCGAGATATATTCTGACCCGCGAATATATACCTATTTGGCAAGAGCACGGCTGCAGAGTGGCGATATTTTTTTGTTCGATGTATGTATTTTATGAAAAATAGTATCTCACAATTTATCGTATTAATAATGACTAGTTCTGGAGATATCGCGTAATATAATAAATTTTATTTATCATAAATTGAGAATTTGCTCTAGCTGCCAATGGTATTATGAAATATGTAATACTATATATAACGATAAATAGAAAAACGACAAACTTTTTATCTTATTTTATACATATATATATATATATATATATATATATATTTCCATTTGTACAATTTTTTATAACATCACAATTATAATTTTTTATCATTTTTATAAAGCAGAATTATTTTATTTTTACATTTACATCCAAATTGCAAAAAGCGGACAGCAAGTGATATTCCATCATACCATTGGCATGATTTCCTGTAATTAAAACTTCTTTCTATTATCGTAAATTCAATATACGAAATTCGCCTGACGAGACATCATTTAAATACATTTGTGCGTATCGTTTCAGGCAAATTCGTTTCGATACGTTCGTTGGATTATACACAATCATTTTACACAGAAATTTCTATCGGAGCTCATCATCTAGAGTTTTATCTCTTCAGACAACTCGTTGATCGCATTGATAGGAGCACGATTAAATCTCCAATTTCATAAAATCGTATTTATATACGTCTCAGAAATATATACACTCGTCACGTTTATTCGACACGATCTCAACGATAGATGGACGTATATAATAATGTATAATAGTTTAAAAATTCCTTTGCTGATACAGTCAAAATATGTGGAATCATTTTTATATCGCCAGAAAGATTTGCAAATTTTTAGAGTCGAAAGTATTGAGTCCCATAGCAATTTAGCTTATTGAGAAAATAAGTAAAACTATTTATTAGATTTAACCGAAACACAGTCCTGATAAACGTCAAACATTCCAGGGTCAATTCATATAGATATCAGAGATGTAAAGACGGTCCCTCGAATGACGACGATTGTTCTTCTCAAGCCGCGAAGCTTTTGCGTACGTGCTGAAATGGGTTACTGTGTAATCCCATTGTGTATTTGCGTTGCATAAGCCAGCGAACGATTATTCTTTTAAGGTCGGAAAAACGCACGCACATTTCGAGAGATTAGCGAACGAGCGAGCAAGCGAGCGAGCACTCGATCTGGACGTGTAGGGATTTCTCGGAGGAAGAAATGCATCTATAGATCGATGTCCTCTTGCTTGGCCTTGGGCGCGATCTTCTCGCCGCTCTCGGACTCTTTCATGCTCACGTGGACGTCCGCGATTTCAACCGGTGGCGGCGGTGCTGGTTTCACCGAGTTGTCGTCCTCGGCGAGCTCGAAGCCGATCGAGGCACCGATTTTTTGGCTCGCATGCTTGAACGAGTCTGACAGCATCACCTGACAACAAGACATTTGAGTTAATTCGGTCAGATTAATTTAGATCAGATTAATTAATCGCATTTTCTTGGTTTATAGTTACACCATAGTTTTGTTAAACGTAAAATCAAAATAATATACGCGAATAAGTACTAAATATAAAAATTGTTATATTAATTATAATTTAATTATTGAACTTGTTATTATGTTAATTAAAAATCTATATTAGCTAATAATTTGCTATCATGATAAATAAAAATCTGAAAAGAAAATAGAACTTATGCAATCAGTTAATAATAATAAAAAATAATTTTAATATTATTTACAAAATATATATATTTTTTATAAATAGAATTGTAAATATAGGCAAAAATATAAAACCTCTTTTGCTCACCTGTACGACATTGATGCACATAGACGTGAGTGCCAGGCCAAACACCAGATATACTATCGAACACATCATGTATATGGGGTGCTAAATCAATCAATCACAATGTTAAATTCTGCGAATCATGAATCTCAATGGATCGCAATGGATTTGTAAATTTATTAATACAAAACGATTTGCGAAAGAAAATAAGCACGTGAAAAACAATGAATGGACGATGATATACGTTTTTCTTCGAAAAATTTTTGCATGTTGAAAAGCTTACCATCTGATCGCCACCGTGAAAGAAAAAAAGAAACACTAGAGTAATCATTTACTGTATATAAGATGAAAATCTTCGAAAATTCAAAAGGGCGCAAATTAAATAAAATTCGGGGATTTGCCTCGAGGACTTCGTGCTGTCCTCATGCAAAGCAAATAGCTATAATGTAGCGATTGTAGCAAGTGATAAATCATTTGATTCATGTACTACTTATGAAATATTAATCAAGTGTAATTAATATACCCTGTTCAAGCAATTCTGTTAATTCTAGAATTTCTATTAATTATTATCAATACCTTCATTTCGTATGATTATCTCTCTTGAGATTATACCAATTATAAACATCTACAAATCGTAATAAAGGAAAATTCGAAATGTAGTTTTCATCTACAAATTTACAAAGAGAGATTCTGAGAATACAAGACTATTTGATTTGACCGACATTCGGGAGATTATTACCTTTGGCACGTAATCGCCGAAGCCGATAGTGCTCATAGAGATGAAGACGAAGTAGAAACTCTCGAAGAAGCCCCATTCCTCCCACATATAATACAGAGTGGCTCCTATGAAGATGTAGGCCAGGAGAATGACGATTGCGACCGAAATTGGTAAATTAAATTCGTCATCGATGGCAAACGTTGACAATGCTGGTGTTCCCGGCGTGTCCGACGTGTTGGCATCCAGATTGAGGACCGTCTGTGGTTGTTGTTGTTGCATCTCCTGCTGCCTCTGCATCTCCTCGATCTCTTCCGGATTCATCTGCGACGGTCGTCGAAACTTGGCGAGATCATACACAAGTTGCACACCCTTCATGACTTCCTGCGAGTTTCCAGAACAAGATGAAATCAATAATCAGATTATTGGTCGATTAAATCGAGCAATTAAAAAAATATCAAGGATAAAGTTTGATATTGTAAAAGATATTTCAAGATAAATTAACTTAATTTCTCTTTAGACTAGAAATGTTTCTTGAGGCACTTGAATATCGAATCTCACCTGAACGGGCCCTGTGCGACGAACCTTGCGACAGCTACCAGTGTAGTATAATCTTCTTACGAATGCCCACAGGAATTTTATGCAGCGCGTAAATAACTTACCGAAGTCGGCCAGGATAATTAGAAACATCGGGATACCGAAAATAGCGTATACGATCGTAATAGCTCTTCCTGCATTTGTACTTGGCGAAATATGTCCGTATCCTGAAATTATAAAATTATCTAGATCAATAATATAAATATATAACAACAATATAAATATGTCACAGTGTAATATCATACATTAATATTAACATATACTGAAAAAACATTGGTTAACTTGACTAAATCGTTTAATTAAATATTATTTTGTTAATTGAACATACAGAAATATTTAAATTAAATATAACATAATAAATCTAACAAAAGATATATTTGACTTATTGTTAAATATTAATATACGTTCAATTAACAAAATAGTAATTTAGTTGAACGATTTAGTCAAATTAACAATTTTTTTCATTGTATATTTCCTTATATCACATTCATATTTTTTAAAAATCACCTAATTCAATATAACAGATATTATATAAAAATTTATATTGCGCGTGATTATATATTGATTTAATATTATAAAATGCGATGGAATGTTACATTTTAAGTTTTAAACTCATATATGGAATTAAATCTTCAGTAGCTTATTTTGTTAGCCTCTTGTTGAATCGAAAACAGCTCGTTTACGCACGAGTAATAAGATCTAAGTTTAGATTATTCAATGACGTAGCAAGTCTACGGTTGTTTTCTCGTAGATTTGATGACTGATGATAGAAGAAGAAACAATTAACCAATTTGACTGAATGAAATTGAAGAATCTCATTGATACGATCATTCAGATGTACCCAGCTGTGAGTTTACTATCGGAAAAATTATAAATATTGCATAATACAAATAAAAATGACGTGTCTTTTCCTCCGATGCAAATTTATCGCCTGTAATTTAAACAGTATCGAGAATATAAGCATCATTTAAACAAATCAAAGTTTGAAATATAATATTGAAGAAAATGTGAGTTAATGAAATAATTAAAATACTTTTCATTGCATTATAATATGCAATATTTCACTTTATTGATTTTAGCTAAAGTAATCGAAATATAGGCGGGCTAATCAAATGGCTTTTTTTAATTAGCTTTTATGTGCGCAAAATGTTTGCGTTTGGTTTTAGATCAGGCTGCTTGTAGACAACAGAATTTCACTGCATTATGTGTCAGAAAATCAATAGATCCATAAAATGTTTTACGTCAAATGTAGCACGGAACTTACTCGCAAATTTTCGCTTTAGGTATGTATATATATACTTGTATGTTACATCTATCTTAGAGCTTTGCGTGCCTTTATTGTCGCAACAAAGTAATATTTCTTCAGTTACTAACATAATATTCCCTCAAGAATAGCAGATATTAAACTAACAATATATTTTTAATGCTAGCTGTAACAACCATCCAACAGCTAAATTTAGTAGTTTAATGAATTAAAAAATTGTTTTACATCTATGTATCTGAAATATGACTTCATAAAAAAATAACTTGAATAAATGAATATAGTTATATCTCAGAGAAAAAAAAGTTCAATTTTATTAATTGTAAATTATTTTAATTGTATATTATTTAAATTTTTTCTCTGAGATATAACTATATTAATTTATCCAAGTTATTTCTTTACGAAGTTATTTTAGAGATACATAGATGTAAAACAATTTTAATTGTTAAAATAAATTCCATTGTAGTTGTTACAACTAGTACTGAAAATATATTGTTAGTTTAATATCTGCTATTATTGAGAGTACTATTCTATAGAGGTAGTAATTTTGAAGAAATATAACTTTATTGCAACAATAAAGTTATACGCAAAGCTCTAACATAGATATAACATACAGGTCTAATTGTAAAACAAAAATTTGCAAAAGTATTTATGACATTTTGCAAAATATATTTCAAGAACTAATAATTTAATTACTAATTATAAATTAATAATACACAATTAGTAATTAAATTATTAGTTCTTGAAATATACTTTGCAAAATATTAAAAAAATAGATATTAACAAGAGTCCTAAAATCCGTTTCAATTGAAGGAAACTCATTCTGATGAAACTTTCGTGAATATGCATTCTTATCAGTCATTACTTCAATACTCTCAAGATCTGATAAAAAAAAGTAAAAAAAAAATGATGAGGGATATATTAGAAGATATCTTAGAAAGTCGACTTCTTCAGTTTGAGGAAGATAATTCCTAGGGTTCTCCTTCCTGAAAATCTTTTCTCACCGATGGTGGTGATGACGGTGAGACAGTACGCGACCGCGTTCAAGAAACTCCAGCTCTTCTGACCGCTATAGCTGTGCAGGCCGGCTTCGTGAGCGGTGTGAAGCTGCTCCTCGAACTCCATCAGCTTCTTACGCGCCATACTCTTCCAGTCGTCCTCCCTCAAGTTGTGGCTATAATTCCAGAGAGTGTCCAGGAAGTCCCTCTTAACGCGTTTCACGCCGCATTTGTAGAAGGTCTCGAAGGCGCCTTCCACGAATCGGAAGATGAAGCCGCCTAGGCCGCAATAGATCATCACCAGCAGCAAGCCGATTATGCAGCGATTCCGTAGCTGTCTGATGATCGTCGTCTCTCGCGGATTTTGCTCGACGAAGACTTTGAATTCGCCGACGATGTCTTTGAGCGCCCTGAAGAAGTCAAACAGAGTAACCTTCTCCGAAGCTTCTTCCTGCTTTTCCTCTTTGATCTCCTTGACTTTCGGAGTCGGCTTCGGTTCGTCCTCGATCTTCTTCGCAATGGTTTCATCATCGGCCTCTTGTTTTCTACGCCAGAAAAACATCCAGGAGAACCACGATTTCTTCTTATCGGAAGACTTGGCATCGGAAGACTCTATTATGTCTTGAACGATCTCTTCGTGTTCGCTCTCGGTGTGCGCTAAACTAAACTTCCGTCTCCTCAAAAAAGTAGTTTCAACCGCATCCTGGAAGACATCCGCGGGCTCCGGATCTAGGATACTGCGTTCCCTCAACATGTATTCCCTCTGAGCCCTCGCAAAGTCCTCGATCAAACTTTCATTATTCAGTGGGATAATCTGCTTCTTAAGTTCGATCGAAGATCTCTTAATCATTCGTCCTTCGGGTCTCTGTGAGAAGTTTTCGCTCTTCCTCATGCTCTTCGAATCCTCATCCGTGTCCTCGGTCTGACTGTAAGGTTTCGAATGTGGCTTCTCGTCCTCCAGTTTTTGTCGACTCGACGATCTCTTCTCGCGATTCTGCCTCTCGGCATCCCTCTTTTGGGTTTCCGGATCGCTGACGCGACTTCTTCCACTCGTCTTCTTTGCTCTGGGCCTCGCAGCTTCCGGCGATTTGGTCCTCTTTTGACTCGACTCGCTCTTTTCATCCGCGTCGCTCGAATCCGTCGATCGACTGTACCTGTCTATGCGGTCCTTCGACTTTCTTTTAAATCGTCTCTCGACTTTGCGGGTTTCGGCAGATCTAACGATCTCGTCGTTCGCTTCTTTCGGTGTCTCCGACGTCTCTTGAACGATCAGATTTTCCTTGACAATCTCGGCTTTGACGACCTCTCTCTTCGTGGTAATCTCGTCGTCGAGCTTGTTCGTCACTTCAGCGGCCTGCTTTACTAACTGCGTGTTGTTGTCATCAGCTGCTGCGGCGTCGCTCTTTCCAGAGTTATTCCCAGCTGTTGACTTGGCGGCCACTTCGGCGCGAATAGCGATCATGTCATCTAGGTTCGCAGACTTTCTCGCGTCAGTTCTGTCCTTTCTTCGAACGGGACGCTGCTCCTGGTGAACATCCTTCTTATCTTGCTTCTCCGGTTCCTTCGCAGACTCCTTCTTCCGCTGCGTTAACCTGGTCTCCTTCAGCTGCTGATCCACCTTCTCAGCCTCCTCGGCCATCCTTTCCATTCTGGCGCGTCTCTCTTCGTCCTCGTCGTCCGAAGTGTCCCTGCGAGATGCAACCCCTCTGGACGAGGGATCGGGCGTCTTCTCGCGTTTCCTGGCGGCCGCTTTGCGACGTCGGTGCACCGTGTAACTATCCTCCATCGCGAATCTTCGTCGTTGTCGCGTGAGAGTTTCGCGAAGAAAATCGTGCACTCCAACACGCTCAGACGCGAGACCGGCCCCGAACGAGACCGGGACAGAAATAAAACGGAGGCTGCTCCCACCACCACCTTTCGGCACCGCGACACTCGCGACGTTTGCCGCTACCAGCTACCGCTATACGACGGCGGAACCGGAAGACCGGCTTAGTGCCGCAGCGGATATCGAGCGACGGCGCCGCGCGCAACGCGAAACCTCGTCGCTTTGGCGTCGCGACGCCGCGCCTGCATCCACTGCAACCCGCTCGACGTTGCGCTGCGCCACTGTACTCCGGAATCGGAAGATGTAAGGTGGTGTGGGTGGTCTGACCTTGTGACCCCGCGTCTGTGTGACCGGGAGGATCTGCGAGGCGATCAGCTGACAGTGTTGTGCTTGGATGATTTATTAATTTGCTAGATAAAGATGAGATGGAAAGATGGAAATTTTGCTTATTGTTAGATAAGATGAAGGTGATTTTGTTTCAAAAAAAGGTATATAAAAATATATATTCATATTTTTATTTATAAATCTTGTGTTATGACAGTGTTGTGCTTAGATGATTTTTTAATTTGCTAGATAAAGATGAGATGAAAAGATATATCTTAAATAGAGTAGACCGAGGCGAACCGGACCGCAAGGCAAATTGGATCAATATAAGCTTTAAAACAGTTATCGTTATTTTTTTGTTTTAAACAAGCAAACTTATTAAGGAGGTAACAACAAGCATAAAACAGCTTGTTTAAAGCAAAAGAATAACGATAACTGTTTTAAAGCTTATATTGATCCGATTCTTCGCCCTGTAATCCGGTTCGCCTCGGTCTACCTAAGATGATTTTGTTTTAAAAAAGGTATATGAAAATATATTCATATTTTTATTTATATAAATCTTTATGTTATGCTATGACCTCAAACCAAATTATCTGAACATTATTTTAGATAATTTAATAAAGATAACACTTTTTTTATCTAAGCTGCAGCTATAGATAAACCTTTTTATTATCTATATATAAAGATAAGATGACGCTAAAATTTCATTTATAGATAATTTTATTTAGATAACAACAAACACTGTCAGCTGGGAATATGTCGATTATATAAATGTCACGAGAAACAGATTTTTCGGAAATGAAAGAATCCTCCATTAATCCGACATTATTTTACCATATAAAAATGTATTTAAATTATTGAAAAAAGAAAAATTAAAAACCTAAGAATTATATAAATTGATTAAAATAAATAGCAAATATACAAAATTATAGCTGTATAATATTATGCTTACAGTATAATATATAGCTTTAGCAATTTGCACGATGCTTTATAAAAATTAATCACAGTCAAAATTCTAGACTGTATACACATTTTGTAATTGTGTAATAGGATTATTACGATTTCAATAATAAATTCAGCTTAAATTTCATGGAGTTATTAAGAATTAACAGAAAATTATGATAATCTAGAAAATGCTTATTATTGTAATGGTGATTTAATTCAAATGAATGAATTGATTAAGACGAAAACAGCTAAAAGAAGACTGGAATAATTTCGAATTAAACTCGGTAGTTCAAAGAGAAAATAAGCTTCTGATATTTACATTAATGGATGAAAAAAAATTGTCTCGTAGAAGATATATCTTTCAATAAAATATAAATCCGCACGATAAAGTGTTAAGAAAAACATTATTAAACAAGTTCGATTCTCGCGCGAAAAGTTTGATAGATATTGGAAAGAGGCTTATAAAATTTGAAAATTTTTATACATGCATATGTAGAAATAAAATGAAAAAATTCAACGATTATTATATAATGTGCACAGAAAATGTTTGTGAAGTTATAACGAATAAAATTCTTTCAAAGAAGATAAATCGAATAATTTACATTCAAACAGAATTTTTAAATTAAATATCAACAGATATTTATGCGAATATATTCTGTTATCTCGTTAGCGACTCAGAGTCAACTACAATTTATAAACTGAAAATATAATTCGCAGAAACGTATTTTTTCTTTACTACACTCAATTAAAGCAATCACGTGTATTTTCAATGTGTCTTTGTTGTCGAATTTATATTGTATTCATTTGTAACTATCGCTTTTATTAATTGCAAGACAAAACTGTACATAACGAACACGAATATATTTCGCGAAACGTGCGCTTGCATATATCTTAATTAATCTTAAGATATAGGTATTTGCATTCGTATAGTGTACATATAGTGACATTTTACCTGATTATCTCGCAGAAATGTACGAAACTAAATCAATTATATATAATTAATTGTTCTCCGTTCTTATTAATTTTTATTTGTCAAGGAAAAAAGATATCGCAGATAACATGATACGTCAATCTATACACACGAATTAACGTACAAAATAATTTATCTATATAAAATATCTATATAAATAATTTAGCATCATCTCATCGCGTACAGCTTTAATTAAAATTTAACAATAACTTTCATCGCACAAATATTAAAAATGTTCAATCAATTCATCGTCAATCGAGCTATCGATGTGTGAAATAAATCAACAATAATTTCGTGCGAGATTTTCCACTCGATATCACAACGTGAATCGAGCAAGTGTTTAATTCGGTCGCGCGAGAGAAAACGTCACGAGAGAGCCTCTCTCGCTCTTTGTGTCCTCATCGAGAACTCGAAAACAAGCTTAGTCTTTCCACGATCATCTTACTCACCTTCTTTTCCGTTATATAATGACAAGACTCGAAATAGTATGCGTGGGCACTACAACGTTGTCATTTAGAAAATTGCACGCACGAATATGTGTAATATATGAGTCGGTCAACTTTAAAAAGAATACGTATATACAGGATGTAATCATGCAGATAGACATTGCGATATTTTTTTCGTAGGTGTATCAACGCTTTTCAATCGATTCTTGTATAATAGAAATTGAATTTTCAATTTTAATTTTGATTTTCTTTTTTTGTCGATGTGTTTACAATTCAAACATGTTTTTCATACAGATGTATGTGTTTATTCGGGTATATATAAATGAAATCTGCACATGATATACGTGAAAAATTGTACAGAGACTGATGTGACACTTCTCTGTCATAAGTTATTTTTTTTTTTTTTACGTAATTTTTTTCCCTCTCTATCACTATCTATTACTATAGAGATCAGTGTTATTTTCAATTTTCGCGCAATGCGAAATCACAATTTGCTACTTCTAAAGAATCTATAAATATATTCTCAGGACAGCGTGCAAAATTTTAAGAATATATGAAATAATTATATGGAAACAAAAAATATTTAAAAAATGTTTAATTTTTATTTTACATTTTATTTGTAAAATTTTATTTGTTTTAGGTATTTGTCATAAAATAATACTGATTGATAATACTCGTGATTGAAATATTAGTAGAATATGATTTTTAATGAATATACATTGCAAAGAATTTTGATGGATAATGACAAGTGTAAAACGATGATGTGTCAACGAATATTTTCCACAGTTATAATAAATATCGTAGTGAGAGATATGGGTCACGCGCACATATATCAATTGTCACACAAGAGAGTAAAAATTGCAGAGAGTGTGTATCAAACTAGGTCACATATTCATCGATAGCATGAATTTTCCGCAAAAAGTAGTATTCCTCTTATGCAAATATATTAATTCTGCTTGAATCGCAAATAAGGAAGCAGAAATTTCCATCTCGATTTTACAGAAAATTGCTAAGCAAAAGAGAACTTTCTATTAAAGCGTCTCATCGATAATATAATAAAATTATTTATATGCACAAAAAAAATAAATTTGAATGCAACAGGTCCGCGTTAAAATCAATGGACATTTGTATAAGCCAGAGCTCTATATAACCACATAAACCTAAAGCAATAGAACGGTAAAATTGATTAAATCAGTCGTGCTACACACGCAGCATGTTGATACCACACGTAGTGCAATACGCAAGTTCCCTCCACCATTTATATACGAGCATTCGATCATTCGTTCGGTTAAGCCAATGCAAGATAAATAAATCCGATCTCATCAAGATACCGTAAGATAAATAAAAATAACTTCCGCGAGCTTTTTACGAGCGAGACGACACGGGTTGAAAATACGGCCACAAAATGTTTTGTCAGACTCGAGATTATCATAATAATCGTGTCTCTCTTAAGACGAGAGATATATCTCAAAAATTGCTCTATTTTCCAGAGAGGCATACATCACACAAATAGTATTCCTCCATTTTTTTATGTAAGTGTCAAGATTATGTTTGTCTTTCTCCAAGGAAAATATACATTCTGTAAGCCTCGTATGTGTAGGCGAATTCAGAATATTTTGACAGAACCTTGAAGACGAATTTTTTTTCGTTCGATATAGAGGTAATATTGTTAACAATCCTAAGAATGAATCGTGTCTATTAAAGTTAAGGAATTATATTCGCAACTAAATTTCAACTATATTTTGTTTATTAATTACCAAGAGATTGTGGGACTGTCTTCTCTTTCCGCTCCCATAGCGACAGAGTTTTGACAGAACCTTGACGAATTTTTTTTCCTTTTCCCTAAGAAGAATGAATCGTTCTAATTAAAGTAAGAATTTGCGCGCGCGCGTGAGAGGAATCGAACGACGCAAAAAATTTTAGTATAAAAGAAACTTTTAATATACGAATCTTTACGGAAATATAATGTACAATACTTAACAATTAAACGCACAAAAAAATTAACACAAAATCTAATCAGTTTCAGCGGACAATTCGAAATCACAAGAAAAGGCGGTGGTCGTCGATTTAATGTTCTGCGGTTTTTCTAAGCGGTTTACTCTTATGCGTACACGGCGGAAAGCGATAAGACCGCAAACCGGGTGTGAGCTCCTCTTTTATCATTTTCGGAGAGGAGCCCACCCTCGCGTGAAGCGCCAATAATTTTGCGTGATTTTAAAGTGGCGCATGCTCAATAGCATATAATTATTCGGCGGAACGGTTGCAACACCGTTACTTGTTTGTGTATTTGAGCGGTTTTTTATATGACAGCTGTCAATTTACGACTCTTTTTTATTCCATTACAAACAAATGTGACTTTATTATTGCCGATCGAAGATTCTAGAATTTAACAATAACTATTTTCGAGATCGAACCTTGTCTCGACTGAAAACGTATAATATATGAAAATCCTAATTACATTTTACTGCCGAAATAATTTAACTGGCGATAAGAATTATTTTGCATCTCAAACATCCCGCCCGCCTTGTCGCAACGTGACAAATGGTTGATGATGATTTCGGCGCGGATCACATTCCGATGGTGATTGATGGTGGGGCGGGCTCGCGTCGGCGCGGCGAAATTCACGTGATGATCGCGTGTTGCGAATCGATCAGCTGAGTCGACGAAAACACGTGGTGATCGCGTGATGTGAATCGATCAGCTGGAACGGCGAAAACATGTGGCAGATGTGAACGGCGAGTGTGAGATGCAGTGAGCGGTGAAAATGAGACAAGTTTTAGTGCGGTGGTGAGCGAAACAAGTGATGTGTGACAATTGATATGGTGCATGATGTGATGATTGTGTAGTGAGTGATGCTATGTGTCAATGTGCGGTGTAGGCGCGTCGTTCACGCCCGGAAGAAACACGAGCTTGACGAGTGGGCGCACGAGCTCGGACGTGGCCGTTCGGATGGTCACGACGCGTGTAATTCCGTCGTCTCCGGGGTGCAAACGCAATATGCGAGCGAGAGGCCATCGGCTCGGAGGGGTGATCTCGGAGCGCACGAGACAGAGATCGCCGACGTGGGGTGCAGGTGCATCCTTGAGCCACTTGGTGCGTGGGGCGAGTCCGTGCACGTATTCGGATGACCATCGCTGCCAGAAGTGATCCCTCATCCGCTGCAGATGACGCCAACGTGACAAGGTGGACACCGTCTGCTCTGTCAATGACGGTTCCGGCAAGGCGAGGAGCGGTGCCCCAACGAGGAAGTGACCGGGGGTCAGCGCCGAGACGTCCTCTGGATCATCTGAGAGTGCCTGTAACGGACGTGAATTCAGACAAGCTTCGATCTGGGCGAGGAGTGTGCTCAACTCCTCGAACGTGAGGGTGGTCTCGCCGATCACCCGACGGAGGTGAAACTTGGTCGACTTTACGGCGGCCTCCCACAAACCACCAAAGTGCGGGGCCGCTGGCGGGTTGAAGTGCCAGCGGATTCCTTGAGTGGTGGCGGCAAGGATGACACTTTGACCTTCGGCTGTCGCTGCGTTAAAGAGACCTCGCAGCGTCCGATCTGCCCCGATGAAAGTCGTGCCGCAGTCGCTGTAAATCTCAGCGCACAAACCCCGGCGGGAGATGAAGCGGCGCAGCGCGGCGATGAAGGCCTCCGAGGTGTAGTCCGAGACAACTTCTAAGTGAATGGCCTTCGACCAGAAGCAGACGAAGACGGCGATGTATCCCTTGTGCGCACGGTGTCCACGCCCCTTGCTGGTCCGGAGGAGGATTGGTCCCGCGTAGTCCAAACCGGTGCTGAGGAACGGTCGAGTTGGCGTTACTCGGTCCCGAGGAAGGTTACCCATCGGAGGCTGTGGTGTTGCGGCGCGCCATCGAGTGCAGGTCACGCATCGGTGTAGCTGCTGTTTGACGGTGGTCCTTCCTCGGGGCACCCAGAAACGCAGGCGGAGCAAGCCGAGAGTCAGTTGCACACCTCCGTGCAGTGTCCGTCGGTGGCAGGAATCAATCACCAGCCGAGTCAACCATGATGCCGCCGGGATGATCATTGGATGTCTTTCGTCGAGTGGTAGCTGAGCATGCTTGAGACGTCCTCCGACGCGCAGCACGCCTTGATCATCGAGGACCGGACTCAACCTCGCTAGGTGGCTTCGCGGTGGACTAGTGCGTCCAGCAGAGGCCGCAGCTACGTCCGTAGGAAAGTGGAGCGCCTGCACCACTCGCAGCCATCGAAATAAGGCGACGTCCAGCTCGTCCGGATGCAAAGTGCGGCCAAGTATGACGTCGCGTCTCGCCGGATTGAGCCATCGCCGACACCATGCAGTAACTCGCAGCAGCCTTTGTAGCTTCGGGAACCGGAGGAGGAGGTCAGGTTCGGCCGTGATCGGTGCCTTGACCACCAAACTGGTGGCTCGCTGCTCCGGGAGGTCATCCTCTGCGGCTTCGATGACGGAACAAGGCCATGCAGTCTCGTCTCCTGACAGCCAGGTAGGTCCTGTCCACCACAGTTTATGCTTAATGAGTTCGTCAGGAGTAACACCGCGTGATGCACAATCTGCAGGATTCTCTCGTCCAGCGATGTGTCTCCATTGAGCGTCTGGCAGCAGGGTCTGGATCTGAGACACTCGATTGGCGACAAAGGTTTTCCAGCGGGTGCTGTGTCCTTGAATCCAGTGGAGCGTGACCTTTGAATCTGACCACAGATGCACTGGCGTCGTTGTCAAACCGAGAGTAGAGCGCACGTGGAGCATGAGCGTGGTAAGTAGAGCTGCTGCACAGAGTTCCAAGCGAGGTAACGACACCTGCTTGACAGGTGCGACCTTGGATTTTGCCATCAACAGGTTGATTGATGTTTTCTCTGTTGCAGCGTTGCGGATGTACACCACGGCGGCGTACCCTCGCTCTGATGCGTCGGCAAACCCATGGAGCTGCAGTTGTGAATGGTCGGTCCCAGTGTTGAGCCAGCGAGTTATGCGGATGTCATCTAGAAGAGGAAGCTGATTCAACAACTGCCTCCAGCGGTGTGCGTCCTGATCAGGCAGCGGGGAGTCCCAGTCCAGCCGTTGAAGCCACGTCGTCTGAATCAGAATTTTGGCTCTGATGACGACAGGTGCGAGCCACCCCATCGGGTCAAAGAGTCGAGCCGTCTCGGCCAAAACTCGTCGCTTCGTGAAGTCGGTGATTGCACGCGGACGTATGGTGAAGGAGAACCAGTCACCTTGCGGATGCCATCGGAGGCCCAAGGTAGCGTGACTCTCTCCCTCCCATGAGTGCGGTTTGCGTTGATGCCGATGTTCCGGTGGAACTCCGGTGAGCACCTGCTGATCGTTGGCAGCCCACTTCCTCAAAGGAAATCCGCCCGCCATGCAAAGACTCCGTAGTTCCTGCTGAAGGTCGATAGCGTCCTCCAAGCTATCAGCGCCGGTGACCACGTCGTCGACGTAGCAGTCGTGTCGCAGTGCCTTGACTCCGCGTGGATATCGTGCCTCTTCGTCTGCTGCGAGTTGATGAAGAGTCCTGATGGCGAGAAAGGGTGCACACGCTAGCCCGTAGGTCACGGTCCTCAGCTCGTACTCGTGGACGTCATCAGAGCTGGTGTGGCGCCACAAGATGGTTTGCAGGCGACGATCCTCCGGATGTACAAGAATTTGTCGGTACATCTTCTCGATATCCGTGACGAGAACGTACCGATGCCAACGCCAACGAAGTAGGACATCAGCGAGTGTTGGCAAGAGATTGGCTCCAGTGAGGAGGTGTGCGTTCAGCGACTCTCCGGACCGTGTGCGCTGGGAGCCGTTGAACACAACCCTGAGCTTCGTGGTCGTGCTTGACTCCTTGAGGACCCCGTGATGCGGTAAGTAGCACCTAGGGCTGCAGGTTGTTGAAGTTGTGCTGACCTCCATATGTTGCAGGTTCTCGTATTCCTCCATGAAATCTCGATAGAGGTCACCGAAGCGAGGATCTCGTGCTCCCTTCCGCTCCATGGCTTCCAGGAGGCGCTCTGCGGGTCGACGAGTCTCGCTGAGCGATGTCGGCGGCGGTGAAGTACATGGCAGCCTCACCATGTACCTGCCACTGGACGTGCGAGTGACCGTGCGCACGTAGAAGTCTTCGCACCTGGCTTCGTCGGCGGTGAGCGGTGTCCCAGCTACTGGCTCGCGTTCCTGCTCCCAGAAGCGTCGAACCATGTTAGCGAGGTCGTGGTCTGTGGTGCACTGGAACGTGCGGCGATGGCCTTCGGGTGCTGCGGCGTCGTAGCCTCCGGACAAGATCCATCCTAAGCTCGTCTGCTGGGCGATCGGCATCCGTGATCCGCCCTTGCGAAGGCCTTCCTCGAGGATCAGCGAGTAGACTTCTGCTCCCAGAAGTAACTCCGCAGGATCGTCATCCAGGAAGCGCGGGTCGGCCAATCGAAGTCCGTGGATGTGAGGCCAGCTACGATCTTCACGTTGAGCGGTGCCTTGTTGCAATGAGATGCGCGGCAGCACAAAGGCCACCACGCGAAGCTCGGCATTGGTCACGTCAGATGTGATGTCTATCGTGACCTTGCCACGCGCTGATCCAGAGCGAGTCCCTCCGATGCCGAAGATGGACAGATCCGTTGAAGCTCGAGGCAGCCGAAGACGCTGAGCCAGAGCCTCAGAGATGATGGACACCTCGGAGCACTGATCTATCAAGACTCTAACCTCGTGTGGTGATCCGTATCGATCAGCGACCTTGACGCGAGCGGTTGCGAGAAGGACGGCCTTGTGCGTCTTAGCTTGCCGTGCAGTGACCAGTGTGGTGGCAAGTGAAGTGGCCTCAGCGGATGGTGTTGATGTGGATGCCCCGTGCAGCATGGTGTGGTGTCGTGCGTTGCAGGTGAGGCAATTCTTTTTTGACTGACACCGTGCTAAGAAATGATTGCCTAAGCAGTTGAAGCACAGTCGGTTGGTCTCCACGAACGTTTTCCGCTCAACCGCAGTCTTGGCCTTGAAGCTTTTGCACGTCATCAAGGTATGGTTTTCACGGCACAGTGCACAGTGAGGTGAATCCGCGCCTTGGTGCTTCGTGACGTGCGCTTTGGCGAATCGTGATGTTTCTCCAGGTCCCTTTGTGACACTCCTCGGTCGTGCGGCGTTGAGCGTCAATACTCGTCGACTAATAAAGTCGAGAAGTGCCTCGTTCTGTGGTGGTTCGGTGGAGTCTGAAGTGGTTGACTCCCATTCGAGACGAGTGCGTGCGTCGAACAGTTCGACGACCAGGTGGTTGAACAGGTCCATCCCATGCGAGTTGATAGGACGTCCGATGCTCTCCTGTGCGTTGACTGCGGCGGTGACAGCGTTGTGGATGCGGCTCAGCTCCTCGGCGGTATCTCCCTTCATCTTTGGCACGGCGGTAAACGTGGCAAAGTTGGAGCGGATTAATTCTCTTTTGTTATTGTAGTGCTTGTCCAAGATTGCCCAAGCGCGATCGTAATTGTCACTCGTGACAGGTAGTGACTTTATCAACTTTTCAGCCGGACCTGTCAGACACGAGCGGAGGTGGTGGAGCCGCTCAATGTTCGAGATCGAATTGCTGCTCACAATGGACAGAAAAAGATCGCGAAAGGATGGCCAATCGGCGTAGGCGCCAGAGAACGGCGGCAACTTGATGCGCGGCAGCGAAGACTTCGATGCGACGTCGACGGATGGAGATACGTTCGGCTTCCGGAAATGTTCGGCATAACTATCCAAGGTACTGCGTTGTGCAACGTACAGATTTTCCGTATCTCCATGCAACTCCGACTTGTAGTATTCGCTCTCACAATATTTTTCTTTCAGAGCTGCGCGAATGAGATCATGCTGTGCCTCGAATTTCGTCCACAGCTGATCTAAGATTCTGGTGCGTGTAGATACGGCACTGGCGGTAATGTTGGTCGTGCCCAGCTTCTTCAGGTATTCCACGGAGCGCGAAATACGGACCTGGATCTCACGTTGGCAATCGATCAACGTGTTCACATCCATGGTGAACTACGAGCACTCACGAACTACACGACGACACGTTCACAAACTTGCGGGTGCCGGCGAGAAGATCCGGCTCGAAGGACCAGAAATATGTTCGCGAACGCGCTGCGTGAGAGGAATCGAACGACACCAAAAAAAGGATGAGTCACTTTTAGTATAAAAGAAACTTTTAATATACGAATCTTTACGGAAATATAATGTACAATACTTAACAATTAAACGCACAAAAAAATTAACACAAAATCTAATCAGTTTCAGCGGACAATTCGAAATCACAAGAAAAGGCGGTGGTCGTCGATTTAATGTTCTGCGGTTTTTCTAAGCGGTTTACTCTTATGCGTACACGGCGGAAAGCGATAAGACCGCAAACCGGGTGTGAGCTCCTCTTTTATCATTTTCGGAGAGGAGCCCACCCTCGCGTGAAGCGCCAATAATTTTGCGTGATTTTAAAGTGGCGCATGCTCAATAGCATATAATTATTTGGCGGAACGGTTGCGACACCGTTACTTGTTTGTGTATTTGAGCGGTTTTTTATATGACAGCTGTCAATTTACGACTCTTTTTTATTCCATTACAAACAAATGTGACTTTATTATTGCCGATCGAAGATTCTAGAATTTAACAATAACTATTTTCGAGATCGAACCTTGTCTCGACTGAAAACGTATAATATATGAAAATCCTAATTACATTTTACTGCCGAAATAATTTAACTGGCGATAAGAATTATTTTGCATCTCAAACAGAATTATATTCACAAAATTTCGACTGTATTTTGTTTATTAATTGCCAAAAGATTGCGGGACTGTCTTTCTCCAAGGAAAATATACATTCCGTAAGCCTCGTATGTGTAGGCGAATTGAGAATATTTTGACAGAACCTTGAAGACGAATTTTTTTTCGTTCGATATAGAGGTAATATTGTTAACAATCCTAAGAATGAATCGTGTCTATTAAAGTTAAGGAATTATATTCGCAAAATTTCAACTATATTTTGTTTATTAATTACCAAGAGATTGTGGGACTGTCTTTCTCCAAAGAAAATATACATTCCGTAAGCTTCGTATGTGTAGGCGAATTGAGAATATTTTGACAGAAACGTCAAGACGAATATGTTTTCATTCGATATAGAAATAATATTGTTAACAATCTTAAGAACGATATCAAATGAATCATGTCTACTAAAGTTAAGGAATTACATTTCGTAAAATTCCGAATGCATTTTGTTTATTAATTGCCAAGAGATTGGGACTGAGATTTCTATAATTATTATATAATTGCTAAAGTGGCAAATTGCCAATGAACGATTAGAACGAACGAGGCTAGAAATATTCTACTCACCGATGGTCGTGTAAATCGTGCCACAGTAGAACACAGCATTCCAGAATGTCCACACTTTTTGGCCGCTGTCCGTCAAGCCTCGTTTGAAAAACTCATATAAATCATTCTCGTATTCCATTATCTCGGCCGCCGCTCGTCCTTTCCAACGATGTAAGTCTGCTGCCAATACTGAGTCGTCGCAAAATCCCCGGATCGTCTCAAGCGTGTGGTTTCTACAATCAAATAAAAGACACTTAGATGATTCAGGCTAAGAGCTTGATTCGATTTTATATATTGCATTTTGCACGTGTTGCGATACTTAATCATTACAAGCTTTTGGAACTACGAAAAATATTAATATAAAAGCACAAATTGGTAAACGTTCCGCATTTATCTTATTATTAAATAATTATACTTAAAAAAAGATTTAAAATAATATTTAAAAAATTAATAATAATTAATGATTTTGTATCGCTAGAGAGAGATTGGTAAATCAAGGTATTTTTATATAAATTCGACCAATACTAGCTATAGATTGTTTATTTATTACGAAGTTTCGACCATTGTCCTTCAAGTACAGCTATAATAATACAATGAAAATTATCTTAATATAAAGAGTAATAATTTGCAATTACAGTTTGAAAAGTATAATAAAAAGACAATAGGATATCATATTGTCTTTTTATTATACTCTTATTATACAAACCGTAATTGTAAATTATTACTCTGCATTAAGATAATTCTCATTGTATTATTATAGCTGTACTTGAAAAGGACCATAACCGATGGTCGAAATGTCGCAATAAATAAACAATTTATAGCTAGTATTGGTTGAATTTATATAAAAATACCTCGATTTAAAAAATTAATATTAAGAAAATATTATTTTAAAATATTCGCGTGTTTAATATTAATTAAAAAATAAATATTTATATTTTTCCTTTTTATCTTTTTTTCGAACTTTTTGATACGATATAATGTTTAGCAATATATTATTCCTTTTACGTTACAAGTTTGATTAAAAACGACTAGCTTGATTTAATTTGCAATAAAATCTTTGAGAGAAAAGATCGTTCTTTTTTGAAAACCGGAGCAAACTCTGTCCTTTCAGATTGCGACAAATGTCACCTCCAATTTTCAATAAAATCTGCGACATAAATTTTGTCGTATTTCCTCCTTAAAACATGAAAACTTTCTTTTGATATACATATGTATAAATTAAGATCGGGAATATTAAAATGTTCGCAATATCGAATTAAATAGTGTCCAATAAATAAGGCCAACGTCTCTGGCCAATAACAGAGAGTTCTATTCCAATCTGGCATAATGGCACTTTATTATCACTGAGAAGACGGAATCGTTCTCAATCACTCCTTGATTCCGAGAGTTAATTTTAGGAGAACCTTCCTAGATCTGTTCTTTACTTAAATAAAGAGACCCAAGAAATACGCAAGCTATAATTATAATACTAAGAATTATTTCCTAATTAATACGTTTTCTCTTTCATACATACGCTTTTAAACTATTTTTGATTAAATTTAGGCTACAAATAGAGTAAAATTTCGCTGCTACACGCAAAGCATCTTATACGTTGATTGTAATTTCTTCTGACCAGAGGCCAACCATTGATCCTAGCTTTTATTCAGAAATAATGAACTTTCGATAGCCTTACTTCGTCCTAATTCTTGATATCGTATACGCGTATAATTGTACAGTTGCCGAATATCTGGCCGATCCACGCTTTATTGTATCTGTCACGCAAAGCCAATTTCTTATAGATAAACTGTCGACTTTCCTCGACTGACCTGACCTTCATATCAAAGCCACAATCAATTTTAGACATAGAAAATTGCTGGAAAAGTTATTTGACGGAGCCAAAGAAAAGCACGAAATAATACTCGCTGACGTGTGATATTGCATCAAGTGATACAAAACGTAAAAGTGTGTCATGTAAACGTTTAATTTATTATTTCGTGCCAACTATATGTTACGATTTAAAGAATTATCAGTTAAAGTTAAATATAAAATTAAAAATAGAAAGATAATAGCTTTGACACGCGAAAAATACATTTATTCGTATTTTTCATAGAAATGAAACATAATTAATTAAACATTTTATCGACTTCTCAAGTTACAGAAAAAAGGATCATTAATGCATTAATTTTATAATTGAAAAAGAAGATTTCAACTACGAAATTGAGCCAGAAAAACGAAAAGGGCTTTGTGAAAGAAGAGAAATTACACAATAGCGTTAAAACGAGGTATCAGAACAGTTTTGCAGATAATGTCATACGATCGACCACGAAAATCAATACTATAGTTTGCATGGCAAACGATTGTTACACAGAACAGCAGATGAAATTATTGGTGGGACTAATAGGAATCAAGAATTATCGACAATTGAAACCACAACAGCCGTCGTGCTCACCTTGGTGTGTCACGTGTGGTCAACAAGAATCAGATTAAAATTCCCACATACAATTAATTAATTGCCGGACGCGAAAAGTCGCAAAATGTGTATAATGAAAAATCCACTTGACTCGTTCAATTGTCTCATATTTTTGCAGAATTTTCTTTTATAACACGGTTTTTCGCGTTCTTTGACACATGTTTAATTAATAGTTTTAATAAAGAGGTACATAATAAATCTCGCATAAGAGTCCGTAAAAATCTTAAGAACTCTTTACTGGCTCATGATCAACATTAATTTTAGCAAGCATTGGTATCTTTCGTTAGAAACAATGTCTTGATTGAAATAAGAAAATCAACTAACAGGTGCTTTATTGTTGGTTTTAAAGCCAATGATATTAAGTGATTGTGTAATGCGATTTTAATATCGTTTCTTTTTTTTTAATGCTAGTTTTTTTCTCAATAATTCTTAAAAAAATATCCCCATGTTAGGTACATTAACTAGTTTCAACATGGGATTAGATCAATAATAGAGAAATATATTTCTTGATGTTAGTATTATAAATTTTATGTTTAACTCTAGCTTACCTCTTTTTTCGGATGTCGAAGCGACTAGATTCCTCATGTGTACCTTCAACTGTCACGAAAATCATCGCTCCAGCGATGCTGTATAGAAGCACGACAACGAATAAAAAAATGTGTGTGAACCATCTTCTGCTCCAGGAACTGACCTGCACAAAACATTTATTATCAAACGCATTAATAATTAAATAATAATAATAATAATACGTCAAATTACAAACACAATATCAATAATAAGATCAAAATTTTTCTTTCCCAATAATTCTTAAAAACAAATCCCTACGTTACACTAACTGTTTTCAACGTCAATGAAATGATCAATAAAACATGGGATGCTCCACCTTTAGGAAGATGCGTAAATTGGCCCAGAATAGAATAAGGGATGAAGACACGTTCAACAAGTCTTCGGACTGAGGATTCTATGTGATGATATGGGATAATCAATAATAGAGAAAGGACATATCTTTCTTTCACATTCCCACCTTCTCGTAAAGCCAGAACACGCTTTTCTCCCCCACGCTAAGCCCGGACTTGGTGAAATCCTTGATCCCCTTAAATTGCGAGAAGACGAACTCGCTGGCTCGGTTGGTGTAGATCATCTGCGGTTGACCGGTACCCGGCGTCATGGGCATCGGCGTTTGTCCATACGGGGTCGAAACGTAGCCCATCCCGGTACCCGGCTGCACATAATATTGTTCCGGAATCGGTAGCATGATCTTTGGCCTGGGCGGCAATTTTCGTACTCGTGGTGAGTTCGACATGTTTGCGGCGAATTTCTACTGCTTTTACAATTCTCAGCCTCCGACGTGCGAGCGAAGCATTAAACACTTAAACACTTAAACACTTGAACATGCCTTAGCGTAACATTCTTATATATATATATATATATATATATATATATATATTCTAGCAATTTTCTAGTCATCTAATCACCCTCGAGATCGAGAGGGACTCTGTCACAAGGAGAAATAGTTGTTCGACATTCTCGAAGAATGCTTTGATCTTTGATTGCATTTAAGTTTGCTCTTCGATTTAATCTTCGCCGTCTGCAAGGAACACGAATATATAATGCTATGGCTCGGTTCTCTGTATATGCGATCTAAGTAAGAGAGATAAGGATCTTGGAATGTTTACACCAAGTCACTCAACATGCAACGGTCGCACTATTTGCGTTTATATATAAATCTGTCAAACATATTAACCACTCATGTCACTTTGTCCTCTTTTTATCCCGTTCGTTATTTCACAGATCTATGAATTTTATTTGAGAGCATGTATAAATAGCCGGAAGAATGTTGGCAAGCTTTTAGAGAGCGAAATTCTATGAGAAAGATTTATTTTGTAAAGAGACCGCTGTGCCTTTCGCCAAATTTACGAAAGACATTTGCGGCTTGCGATCTTGCAAAGAGTCATTAATATATCACTACGTGAAAAAACTTCGAACTCGCTTAAAATATTGTGCAACAAAAAAGTCTTTCAGAAAGTAATCATATCGAAAGTAACAAGTCGATCGCCGTAATAAATCTTTATTAAAGAGACTTGCTCCTTATTTTTAAGATATTAACAATGATACTCATAAGTTGCTACTTTATGAAAGAATTCTTTGAATAATAAAATTTTAATATTAAAAATTCAATAAAAATTTAATGTAATATTTTATATAAGAGATTGTTAATTAAAATATTTTAAAAGAACGTTAAGTTTTCTTGAAAAAATATTTAAATTAAATATTCCAAAAAATACAAATTTATCGTTCAAAGAATATTATGGCAAATATATTCTCGAAAGACATATTTTCTATTAGCCCGGTATTTGCAAAAAATATTAATTTCAAGTTAATCAACGCGCAATAATCATCATGGAGAAGTGTGCCAATTGTAGGTATTCATTGATCTTGACCGCGCCAGGTATTTTTCTTGTGATCTCGAATTTGCACTCTCTTCTGTAATCCAAATCCTGTTTCTATCTAAAATTATTCGGACGACACGAGTCATAAGGTCAACGACCCCAGATGAGATTCTAGCAATAGATAGTATAAGTATGTGCAAAGCTCCCGAGGTAACGGATGATGGAAGAGTGCATTCTACGATTGCACAACCGCGTTTTATTATAATTACAGTGTTACACGATCTTAGTTGTAATAGTATATAACACATGTAACAGAGAAATATATGAAGCGAGGACACACTATACGTGATTACAATTAAAGCGATATTCTACTTTGATATCTAAAATATTAACGTTCAAAGCGTTGAATAACATGAACACATATAATATATGCAATGTCACATGTTGACATCACGAAATACTGTCACTTTTATAGAGAAATACCGTCAGAAAGTCCTTTCTGATATTTTCCAGTTACTAATACTGTTTTACCTATTTTAATGTTTAAAGCATATTTAAATATGAATATTTACGTCATTATTTAAAAAAAAATAATAAAAGTCATCTAAAAATTTATATATAATTTTTAAAAATTCAAAGTTTTACTGATTTTTAGATAAAATTAGTACATAATACATTAAATTAAAGAAATCTATTTCTGATTTTAATTTATCATCACAGATCTTGAGATACATATGTGCGAGATATGTGCGTTTAAAATTTTTTCTCTTTTATGTGTAAACGTAAAAGTATATTTTACATTAAATTACTATTTGTATTATATAAACAAAATAATTATACATAAATCAAGCATGACAGTGCAGAGACAAATAATATGTATGATAATTTGATTTATCATCGTCATTTACATTACATTACATAAAAAAGGTGCGATTGCGATGATGGATCAAATATATAAAATCTCACATTTGACTCATCGACAGAAGCGTCATAAAAGACGTATTTGAAAAAGATATTTTTCACCCTTTGGGAATCATTCGACTATTTCAATCGATTTATCACCAACCGCACCGCCGAGCAAATAAATTCGGTTTCTTTTCTTAACGAGCAAGCCGATGCCTATATCTTCTCTATTTTTTCTCAAGATTTCTCAATACGATATTTTCTATCAAACTATAGTTCGCTGCAGAATTGCATTAGATAGATTAATTATATCACTTTTTCACTAAACAGATAAATGCACTTTTCTCGCGACAACTGTTTGCATACTTTTGCACAATTTTCAAAAATTGATGTACATTATTCAACATACTCGCTCTCATATTTATTTTTATATTTAGTTTCATTATTTTAAATTATGCTATTTTATTTTAATTTTATTTTACTTATATTTTGTTTAGTCTTTACATTTATAAAATTCTTCTCTTCACTTTTTTAAATACAATTAAATTTTATTTCAAATAAAATAATATCATTCCCTTCTCTTCACGTAATTGAGCAATTCATAAGGAACGGGAGCAAATTACTAAGGGAGGATCTTGCCGCAATATTTCTTTCGATGAGAGAGATATGTCCCATCCCATTTTCTCAACACATCTTTTCGATTTCCTTCGACAATCCGCGCCTTCGTTAGTCGTTTGACACCGATCGAAGGACAAAAAAATATCTTTCTTGCAAAAAAATATCTTGCTTTCCACCCTTTTCCACAGCATTGGAAAAAGGGCCACCTACACGAACGCGAAAAAAACTTGTTCGATTATCTTATCATCCCGGCGAGTTCTATATTCCGGAAACGCGATGCAATGACAATTTAATAGCGCGTGTCATCCTGATACCGGTAACGTTCCCAATTTCCGAAGTTTCCGAGATCCGTTGCTTTGACACACTTTCTTATATCAGAGTCTCTATGATGCTATCATCCTTTAGTACCTCACGATACATTCTAATTTAATCTGTAGTTTGTCGTCGTACAATTTTTTTATTCGTTTAATTTGTTCAAGCTTGAATTAAATCGGAAATTATTATAAGACGCAGCAGTTATACATTTCGAATAACTTTGTTTCCGAGCGGGATAAGATAAGCGGATGCTGCCTACAGGTGCTAACGTTAACATCTCCAACATCCCTTCGACGGCAGCGTCGCGACGCCGACTGAGGAGCATATTCGATGCCGGAACTCGGGTCGCTTTGAAACCGGCGCTACCGCAGGGCCGTATTAACTGCAGATATATGTATACATATATATATATATATATATATATATATATATATATATACATATAAAGTTCGAAAATAATGTATTAATTACAAAGTTTTTGATATTCCGTATAAAACCGTATTTAGTTAATTAATTAAATATTATATATATTATAAAGTTCGAAAATAATGTATTAATTACAAAGTTTTTTGATATTCCGTATAAAACCGTATTTAGTTAATTAATTAAATATTTGCTAACAAATTATATCTCCCATATATATATATATATATATTAATATATATAAAGCTCGAAAATAATGTGTATTAACTACGAAATTTGCTTAAATTCCCAAAATTATATTTAATTAATTAATTAAATTAAATATTTGCTAACAAATTATATCTCCCACAATAATAATATTTAACAAATTCGACATATATGAAAACTAAATGTGTACGTACGAAAACTGTAATATAATTTGATGTGATATTTTTATATAAAAAAATTTCTTGGTACTATAGATGCACAATTAATTAATTAATTAGCGAATTTCGCAGTACGGCGTTGATAGAATTCTTCCGTAACGGAGGAAAGACGGATACTTCTATATTCTATATATTGTAGAATGCCGAGTACGAAAGGAGGTATATATTTACCATTCTGCTTGCATACACCATCATATCGATTTTAGTTGGCCTTTTGTCCAAATGATTCTCATACAATACAGACGTTTATATATTTCGTTAGAATATAAGGGAATATTCCTACGTTATTTTTTGTGCAATTAGTATTTTAATTGAATTCAAACACAAATATTATAATGTTCGCTTTTACATGTATGTATATTCAACATAATTAAATTGATTATGCAATGGAATGTAGAAAAATATTATCTTTTTATCTTTGAAATAGAGATAATTAGGTGTAAAAAATAAACGAGAAAGTAATAGCCAGAATCAATGCACAAATTACTAATATGTAATTATTAATAATAACACTATTATAGAATTATGCAAACTTGATAGAAAATATATAAAGACAATATACATATTATCTAATAATTTATATCTAATGATTTATATCAAACTGTTAACTTTTTATAGTATAGATTATGCTTATAAATTTTTTTATTAATACGTGTGCAAAAGTTACACAAACATATGGATGTAGCCTCAAAAATCCCAATTCAATGATAACACTATGCATTTTAATTTTGCTTTTGTATCAAGTATATTTTTTGAAAATTTTGAATTATTTAATATATCAAGACAATAACTTTTAAGCGAAAAATTTTTATTTTACACGTTTTATTAGAGATTACTGTTGTTGAAAAATTGATCGAATTAATCGCTGTCAAAAAAGAATAAGAATAAGAAAAGTTTCGAAAAAAGAATAAGATAAAAATAAAGTTTTGTTCGATCTTAAGATAAAAGTTAAACAGTGAAAAAATTTAAAGTCTATAATTTCAAGATATATTATATATTATATTGCATTTGTATTAGTCCACGACATGAAAAACACATTTAGCAATGGACAGTGAGAAATTGGATGAATTAGTGCGACAACACGTCGAACTGTATGATCTGTCACGCCTAACATATCTGTACGGTACGTCTGAATCGACCATAATTCGTGAAAATTGATTAGCTAAAAGTTAAATTCATGCGTAAATTTGCAGTCAATTGATCGCTGTATTTTTTTGCAACGTCATTAATAAAATTGTGGATCTTGCCTGTAATATATAATTCGATACACAAAATGACCGCTTAAAACAAGTCAGGCTTGTGCTATATCATTTATATATTTGTGG